ATTGATTTAGAAGTACATGAAGTGTATATTCTCCTGGTTTTATGGTTGGATCAAGAGATGATGTTGGTTCAACAGTAAATGATGAACGTATGTGCCTTTCAGCACCCCAAGGAAGACGTCGGACGGTGTCAGACATCAAAAAAAAAGAATTTTGTCAAATATTCATGCATGTAAATAATGATAAATTCAATGAGTCATAAATTGTTTTTTTATTGGTACAAAGAAATAAACCAATAGAATATAAAATTTCAAAAATATAATAATTAATAGTTGTATCTTTTAAATTCTAATTTGTAAATGTGTCTTGATTATTTATAAGAAACAAATAATATAGTATTGATAATTTTAATAAAGAAAACATTATCTCAATATTTCTTAAAACAAACAATCGAATGATATGAAAACAAGAGATTTTATCATTGTATGTATGGATCCTTTGAGAACGAGATTCCTTTTTATAAAATGAAGCTTCTCGAAAGTCAAAAACAATGTATTCATTCATACTAATGTGAAGACTCAAATCGGCATTTGAAAAAGTACTTTCATCATCTACAACTTCTAACTGAATATACTGTAATAGCAGCATTATATTCTTCAGTTTCGAATCCATTTCATATTTCTTTACTTAATTTGTTTCAAAATTTTGATTCATGACAATTTTCATTAGTTTTGTTATTGTTCTTATTTTTGGTAGAAAGTATATAGTTCTTTCGCAAATGAAGACTTAAAAATAATCTATGTGAATTAACAATGATGTGAAGGAAAGATTTGAATTTACATTTTTCATTGTTATTATTCCTTATATTAACTCTAAATGCTTTCCTAATGACTTTATAAATGCACAAAAAGATATCATGAACCAAACCGCTTTCCACAATAAAAAGGATTTCTTTCCCTTCGTGTTAGAAGGTTCCCTCGGCATAGAATACTTACGGTCTTCTATTGCAGGAAGAAGTTTAGTAAAACATTTTTAATACATTTATTGGAAACAATAGCGCACATACATGCCTCTAACCAAATTTTCTTTGAGAATGTATTTGATCTGGTTATTGTTTTATGCACTTTTATTTTTATACATACTTTAGTTCAGATAAGGTTTTATATCTAATGCATTGTCATTTAATTCTATTTTCTACCACAATATTCATTAAATTCCAATAAATAAAGCGCTAGGTGTGTTAATAAAGTAAAACAAAAAAAAAAACAAGAAAACTTCAAATGATATATTACCAATTAACGACATTATTAAAGAGATTGACAAAAATTGATTGTATTTATTTCAATCAAGTCATGTTCTTCGTTTTTCTTGCTATCATTGTTTTCAATATCGAAATGACAAATGTGTGTATTTTTACGAAACATTTGTTAGTAGGTTCAATGATCCACTGAATCAATTACTGTATGATACAATCGATAAAAAAGTGTGTTGATTTTCTATGTCCATAGCAATTGATCGAATCGATCTAAGGTATGATCAGATGAATGTTCAAACCTATTTATGATTGGAGAGAAGTGCTGATATTAGCAATACTGTATATTATCAATTTTTCATATATGTTGAAATCGAGACTTCTATTATTGTTAGTCAATATTGATTGGTTTGCAAATCATTCTTGATAATAATCAAAAATACACATTAAATTTCATGTAACTGTTGATTTCTCATGACAGTTTAGCTCATGATGGTTAATCTAACCTAATATATACTGCTATTCAACATATAAGGTTTGTAGAAAACCGAAGTGGATAACTGGTATTTCAAGTTACTTATATACTCCACAAAAACCTGTTAAAAATTATGTTCGTCTTAATTCGATACTGGTCCAATTTGATATCGGAATGATAATTGTCTGACGAAATGCATTTGAATAGACTACACACTTTAAATTTCAATGCAAACTTTTCAGACCATGGCTATATCTTCCCGAGGGTGGGTGTGGGTGTGTGACAAGGGGTGAATAGCGGAATCCTGGAATTCGATGGAATTCAGGGGAATTTTAGGCAGTTCAAGAAAGGTATGGGAATCCTGGACTTCAAGATTCCTGGATTCCGCTATTCACTCCTTGATGTGGGTGTGAGGGTGTGGGTGTGGGTGGGATGTGGGTGTGGGTGTTGGTGTGTGAGTGTGCTTGTGCGTGTGGATGATTTTAAAATGACAATGTACACTCGCACCCACTCACACCCACACTCACACCCCACACCTACATATCCGCACCCATGCCCCACACCCACACCCTTGTTAGCCGCACATAATATTCTTTTTCTTCAATACATTGAATAATGCAACCAATTGATTTTGTATCGAATAAATTTTAATCAAGCAGTTTGTCATTAATGCATTGTATAAGTGTATTCATACAATGATAGTACCTATCTCAAGTACAGTTTTTAAACAAACAGTCTAAAACATCAAATGCGATGTTTTATAGAAATTTTGTTTTTTAAAAATATTTCATATCAAATCCCTTCAACAAAATTTATTTATTTACTTCAGTTGTATATCAAACTTTTACTTAATACTCACGCGAGTTTCTTACAAACCCGCGCAATACACTGTAATTTTAGACGTCAAAGTGAGATGATAATGTATTTATTGCTTAACAATTGAAAATACTACCATTGAAAGAGACACTTTAAACGCCGTCGTCTCATTTATTTAACAAAGCCAAGTTTGATTAGAACGTCCGTCTAATAAAATGAATCTGAGAAATAGAATTGTATGAATTTGGACATATCAAAAACCCGCCTTGTACGCACTAAAACAGTAATGCTACTAAAGATATTGAGTTCGTTCAATAAAACCATAACGTTCTGAATGTTATTTTGTAGCATGGATAATATGATGTACTTGATTCAAGTTCATATAGAGATGTCAAGCATTCATTGTAAACATTGTTACGCATAACCTTATCGAAAAATTTTATTAGATTGAGATAGATCTTTCTTTTTCTGTGGATGAAGATTTCCATTAGATTATTCCGCATTGCACAATAGTTAACTGCATAAAAACAGTAGAAATCGATTATCTAGACTGTATTCATGTTGGATTCGTTATAACAAAAATGACAAGATACTTTCTAAATTGATATATTCTTTTACTCGATGGTTATGTATGGAAATGCATATTAAATCTTGTATATCATCATTCGACTTGCAAAAGTTCTCTAGAAATACGAATTAATATTGCTATTTTTAGTTTTCAGCAAAATGAACGAAACATGGAAGAGGTATTTACAGGTAATACACACAATCAACTGATGTTAGAGTTATGAGACGATTAACTTAACACACAATGCATACAAAAAAGATCTATAAAAATACTGTTCAAGGATAATAGGTTTTATGAATCACGTAATTTTAACGGATGTTTAGATTTATGACTTTGAGTTTTGACTGATTGTGATGAAGTCTGTTGAATATTCGATTCGGCTAATATTCGATCAAGCACTTGTTCAAATTTAGCATCTCCAATTTGTTCTCCAATATGATACAATTTAAGCATATAATCAGAATGAAATACATTGCTATTATCCATAAAACGTTTATAATCAGTTTGAAGTAACTATATAATAAAGAGTACATAAATATGTGGATGCATGAAAAATTATATTATATGAATACAAACTCGAAAATCACTTTCAAGTCGAGAACGTAATGTAAATTCTCGACGAAAACGTTCTTCAGTTAATTTCAATCTATAATTATAAATTTAATTCGATTCTGTTATTAAATAAATATTCTTACTTGTTTTTTAATTCAGCTATTTCTTGTGAATGTCGTTCGTTGATTATTTTAATATCTTGATCATGTTCTTTTCTTAGTTCAGCTTTTACTTTTTCTACAACTTTCAATTCTTGTTCAGCATATTCAGCCTATGGACAACTTATTATTATTCCAATTCGATAATAAACATAGCGTTTTCTTACATCTTTTTTTGCAATTAATACTTGAGCAAATTTTTCTTGTTCTTCTAAATGTTTCAATTCGAGCGATGCACGTAATCGATCTTCTGCTTGTTTTACTGCCTAAATGAATGAAAGAAAATGTACGATGAAATCATCTCTATTTATTTCAGTACAAGAGAAAGTTGTTCATTAGCATGTTTCCATTGTCTTGCTAATGATTGATCACATTCATCTTTCATTCGTCGTATCAATACTTGTTCATCGACTTGATTTCTTTCTTGACGTGTACGTTCCATATTAGTAAAACCTTCGTCAAGTTTTTTTTGTAATTTAAGTTGTTCTTCTTCTAATTGTGCTTGCCATTTTCGTGTTAGTTCATCGGATTTTTTTCGATGTTCATTTTCCATTCGTATTCGTTCAGCTTCAAGTAATTGTTGATAAGTTTGTTGAATTCGATTTTCATTATTATGTTGCATTTGTCCTAATAAGCGATCACCGACCGCTGTAGAATAATAGAATAAAAAACGTTTATATATATATACGTATGATACATCGGATAATGTGATCATAAAGTGCAAAATCATATTTAATTAACAAAAGTGTTATTGATTCTTGAATGAAAACATACTTCTAAACAGCATTCTTACCTTAGAAATAATTCATTTCTTTTTACTAAAATTATTGAATATTTAGTTATTTTTTTTTGTTTGTATTATTCAATTAAGTTAGCTACAAAAAAATAAAAAATTCATATTTTTGTTTTTTGCTTACTAAGAATATGTTGATGAGTAATTTGTCGAATCAAATTATCATTTGGATGAGAAAATCGATGTGAAATTTTTACATCAGGTGATGTTTGTGGTCGTCTCATTCGGAAAGGTAAGAAACTTTTTCTTGAACTACTCGTCGTATATGGACGTTCAGATGACAAACGATTAGCTTCATAATGTGCTTGAGACATGTTTAATCTATAAAAATGATCGTCTTTTTAAAGTGCAATGCACAAGAATAGAAATACTAGTGAAAAGACAAAAACGAACATTCTCCTGAGATCTATTGAAATCAAAAGATAAGAAAAAGAAAAAAAAAAGTTGTTTATGGATTAAGAAAAGACACTTGTCGTGATTGTTGATGATCATCCGTAATTGATAAACGTTTTTGTTCATATCGTTTTTGAAAATATTTATCAACAATACTATTTGCATCTTCAACTTCAATTGAATTTTTTACACAGTTACGAATTTGTTCCCAAAGTTCTTCTGCAAATTTTTTTTTCGGATCAATATCAGCAACTTTTTTTCGTAATGGTTCAGGTGACCAAGCATTCCATATACGCATTGTACGATCCAATGAAACAGTGATATATTGATTTCTTTCCGGAATAAACAAAACATCTCTTTAAGAAAAAGAATAAAACAATAAAATTTATTTTCATGCTTAAATTTCTATACCGAATAACATCTGTATGTCCCTCATTCGTTTGTACACATGTATATTCTTCCATATCAAATACTTTTAATGTATCTTGAGTACCAATTAAAAGTGCTTTTTGAACATCATCAATAGCAATCGTATGTATACTTCCTCGAACATTAATTGCTTGTTTAAATTCACCGTTTGTTTCCTAAAAAAAAGAATAATTTCAATATAATTGTTTAGTAAAAATAACAAGATAATATATTTATAACCCATATTCGAATTTCTCCATTTTCCATTCCAGTAACCCATTGATTTGTTATAAAATTCCATTTAACGCACGTAACTTCTGAATCAATTTTTGTCTGAAGTTTATACATAAGATCCATGTCAGAACCTCTTGGTGAAAATTTTCGAACATAAACACACATATCACTGGAAGCATAAGCAAAATATTTCAATGTTGGACTATAATCCATATCATGAATACTTCCAGATGCTGCCGATAACATTTCGTCTATATGTTCTGCTTTTGGATTAGTATAGTTTGAAAAAAGAGTAAAATGAGTTAAGTCCCAAATATATATGCGTCGATCCCATCCAGAACTAAGTAAATAAACACCACCAAATGATTCGACATCATCGATAAGTGCTAATGAAGTAACAAGACTATCGTGTTCACTAAATATTTTACGTAATGTAAAACCAACAACACGATTTGCAACTTCAGCACCCTCTATATTAAAAAAAAACACCAGTGTAATAACGATTTATTTCACAAAACCAACTTGTTCATAATATAAAACTTGATTTATATATGGAAAAAAGAAACATGATTTTGAATATGCTACCCTTATCTGATAAAACTATATTCATCATTGTTCTGTCATATCGTTTTTTAATTTGAATTGTTTTAAATAAAAATCACTAGATCCCTATTTCCAAAAGTTTCTACCCTTGTGCCATAGTTTTTCGACCGGACACGACCGTACCTCATTCAATGGGGCTTTTCAAATAATGTGATATTTGTTTAATAGGATCTCTAAAATGGTCGTAACAGTGAAATATCGAGTATATAGGGTCGTTTCGCAGTGCACTCCCTAGTTAATTTGAATCTTAATGCATATATGCCTATTTTTGTATCATCTCAGACAATCATTCCTACCATAATTACTATATGATCATTATACTACAGACAGACAGATATAAGCGACTTCTCATTTCTAAATTCTATCCTTTTAGTCTAGAAAATATCAAAGATATGAATACCGTCTGGAAGATGATTAATATCATTTGATTGATCACGTAATGTAGTTAATGCTTTTAATGCTTCTAAATCAAATCCCCAAACATAAATATTTCTATCTTCACTAGCTGCTATAATTAAATCAAATTTTTCAACAAATAATATTCGAAGAATTGATTTTCCAGTTGCTGTTTTTTTTATATTGCTTAACGTATTTGTATCATTTTTTTTCTGTAAATGTGCATATTGTGATACATAACCACCAATGCCACGTTCTTTTTCACGTAGTTTAGCTGCAGAACGTGAACGTACATAATAAGCTGGTAAACGTTCTTCAACTGTTTTTATACGATTTGCAGATGTTACTCGTTTTTGATTTGTTGTAGATTCTTTGTTATTATTTTTATTATTAGTATTAGCAATATTTTTTGTATCTCCCAATGATATAGCTTGTACCATGACATCACTTAAATTTTTTTTACCCTCAAATTTAAGTAAACGTTCACTTGAATACATTATTTGATTTGATTGCATTTGTTCCCATTTATGTACATTACCTATTTCAAATAAAAGAAAAAAGAAAAGAAATAAATTTCATTTAATTAATCTATTTTATGTTATTTATTTAGTAGCATTCAATAAAACAAACAACACAAATACACTAAATATATGTTTTGATATCTAAGCTCACCTTCGGAATCACCCGTAAACATCTAATTAAATAATCATAATAAGCATAAAAATATTATAATTAACATGCAGATCACACATATATGAATTTTTTTTTCTTACCAATATTGGTGATTTTTTTGTGTAACAAACACTTTCTAATGGTGATTTTACTTTCAAACATGATATACAACCACTAAGATAAAAAGTCTATCTAATCAAACAATTCAAAAGAAAGAATATTATTATACTTACGTATTATTATAACGCCATCCAAGACATTGTTTAATATTTGTTGAAGCTATAAGAATATTTAATTCTGGTATATATCGAAGAAGAATAAGAAAATAACTATAACGAAGTTCATTATCTTCAACATTGAGAAACGTATCTTTTGAATAAAGATAAATAAATTAAATTTTTTTTTTGTTGAAAAACATTGATACTTTACCAATAAAACTTGATACATTTTCACCATTTTTTGGATCATATACATGAGCAAAACTATTACCAGCAGCTAATAGATAGAAATAAATTTAGAGATAATTATTAATACTAACGAAGAAACATTCTCAGATGTTATCAATCGTAGCATAAATCAATAGAAACTGATGTTTTTCTAATGAAGATACAAGCAATAATTACAAGTGAACTTTATTTCTCTAGTAAGAAAAGTCTCTAGATACTTATCCTTTTGGAACTTTTAATGTCTCAATAGAGTCTATCTTATACAATGATTCCGAACTTAAAAGTCATTAAACATATGAGAACGTTTCATGATAAAATTTTTATTCTTCATATAAATATTCTGAGAGGAGAAAAAAGAAAAACATATATTTCTTACCAATCCAAACAGTTTTTGTTGCATGAACATAAGTTAATCCTGTAACTGGTTGTGTAAAATCAATAAATTTAAAAATAAGTTTTCCATCAAGACTCCATACTTTTGCTGTTTTATCAAATGAACCAGTCATTAACCATTCATTATTATCTAAAGAATTTTTTTGTGCTATTAAACATGTGATTCCAGCATCATGTGCATGATCTAATTTTTTTGCAACGGATGGTGAACCACCAAATGGACAATCATATATAATTAATTTACCATCAAAACCAACTGAATATAATTTATCAAGCATTAAAACACCTGTTGTTATATCATCATGTTCACATATTATATACAATGGTATACTATCAATAATTTGTCCAGTTACATTATTTAATTCATATTTATGAAATTGAATACCTTTTTTTTTTTTTTTTAAAAAAAGTATTTATTTAATAAATAATTAATCTTAACAGAGATTTACCTTCTGGTATACCAAAAATAACTTGTTTCAAACGAGAATGAAAACAAATTGAATAAGCTACAGAACCAATATTTAGTTTATCAACAACAGCACCGATGGCTACAAAGAAAAAAAAAATAATTTATCAAAATTTTTAGATAAGAAAATAAATTTTTCAATATGAAATTCACCATTATATGTAACAACTGTTGAATCATTACCACTTGAAAAAAAAGCTCTAGCTTCCGGAAGTGCACATAGAGCAGTAACCCATCCTCTATGCTTATAACAATGTTGAATAAGTTCACCTAAAGATAAATATGAATTTCTAGTAAAAAAAAACTTTTAATTTTACCTGATTCATGATCAAATGTTTGTACAGATCCATCTTCAAAACCAAGTATTAATTCACGTTTTACTGGATTACTTCCAATCACAGTTACTTTTGAATTAGGAGTTTTTATTTCCAAATAATATTCTAATGCCATTTATCTAATTTAATTAAAGAAATATTTTCAATGAAAATGTTTGAAAATTTTTCTCTTTTCTTATTATAAATTCAAAGAAAAGAAAAAATAATATTATTTTAAGCAAACAATTATTTATCATTATTATTGAAAAGAAAAACAATTTTCTATAAAAACCTACCAAATCTAAACACACATATGTAACTCTGTGTTAACAAATACCCATAGACAAAAACACACAAACAAAGATATACATGGTAATAAAAAAAAAAGAAGTAAAGAAATACATAGAAAACAAAGACGCGCTATAACGGATGATCGAAAAGAGAATTGACTAAATATTCATTCGCTTTTGAGCCTCTTTATAATTTTCTATTGTTCTCAAATATAGATTCAATATTTAATGTAAGACTTCTAGTGTAGGAGATATGAGTCGATTTCATCAAGGATTTTAGAACAATCATTCAGGAACGATTGAACTTACTTTATAAGTCTACTTTCCATAGACGTCAAGAAAATTGCCTAAATTGATTTAGTTTTCCTTATCAAAGTACAATTTGAATTAACCGAGAAAAAAACATTTTCAAAATATATTTCACTTATTAAAATCTATCTAATCAGTGATGCCGATTTAGACTTCACAGGTCATTTTTGGAATGCTGGAGCTTATCTTTTATAAAAGTCTAAAAAATGAACGAATATTTGGTCAAAATACTTTTCGATCACCTGTTATTAAACTAAAAACATTAATTCGAATCTTCTTCATCTTGGTGATCATCAGAATCTATTATCGAAGTTTTAGCCGAATCAGCTGTTAGTGGTCGTCGTAACTCAACACCTGTAATAAAGAAAAAGAATATATCACTTTCGTATTTTTTATTTTGCATAAAAAATGTTTCAAACTTACCTTTACCAGCTTGCGATTTCCATAGACTAATAAATGAAGAAAATAATTCAAATCACTTGATCTACAATTATTACTTACGAGTCATAAGTATGTTGAGAAGCATCACCTGATGATAAAAGATTGTTATTTACTGATTCTCGGCCTCTATAAAGAAAAACTTTTTATTTCATACATATATATATAAACTATAGAAATATTTTTAAATGAATGCTTTGTAATAATTCATTTGTTTAAGACAACAAAGAGAAGAGAATCATTACAAATGAACTTCAATGAAACTTTCATATATCTAACTGAAATCATTTTTTATTGATTTTCTTCTCTTTTGTGTTTTTATAAAATAAGGTAGTGCAATAAGTTCATTCAATGTGACACATTCAATAAAGATAGTGCAAAAGAAAAAGAGAGGTAGCATCGGTTGGTTTTTTTTAATTGCATACGTGCTTGCGTTCTTACAGAAGATGGACTAGAAAAGAAATAATTTGTTGTTTTTTTTTTTAAAGAAAAATATTGTATGTGTACACTCCAAAACCAGATTAAAAAACAAAATAATTTATTCTACTACAGAAAAACAAAAACAAAAAATAATAATAATAGTACATACGATGGTTGTGGCAAATGACCATTCGATGGTTTTTGTGCAGGATTTGTATTTACTGTTGTAAATGATTCACTTTGATCATCATCATCATCATCGTTCTAAATTTTGAAAAAAGAAAAGAAACAAATACATTAGGAAAGAAACATGTTGTTTTACTTGAGTAGCAAGTGAGTTTCTAGATGGTCGAAATCCTTGTGCAATAGAATTAACAGTTGGTTTTTCTCCTTTTTTACTGGCTTCATGTAATTTTTGTTCGATAAAACGTTTTTTTTCCGTTACAGTCATTGAATAAGGTCCAGTTGTTGATGTAGGTGGTACTACACTTTCGCTTTCACTTTATAAGAAAAATAGAATGAACAATAAAAATTCATTTAGTATATTGACTTATTATTTTTTTTCTCTTCTTGTTACCTATCTGAATTCGATTTAGTTGTTGATATTGTTTTAACTGTTGATTGACGAGGAAGAGCAGAAATAGTTGATGTTTGATTTGTTGTTGTTGGTCTCATACTTGCTGCAACTAATGAACTAATACCATTTTTTGTTGTAGATGGTGGAACATGTTTTCTTGGCGATGGATGAATATCAGATATAATTCCTGGTTGTGTTGGTTGTGTATCTTCATCATCATCACTTTCGTTCGCATTAGATATTGTAACATCATCATCTGAATCATTTTTTATTGTTGGACGACTATGATCATATTTTGATTTTGATGGAACTGTTGTTGTTATAGGACTACGTTGATCAATTAAAGTTTTTTTTGGTCGTTGATGTTCATCTTCAAACGTAACTAATTTACTACCAGTTGAACGTACAGATGTAATGCTATGTCGAACATCAAGTCGTTCATTAATACGTTTATCTAATATTCGACTAATATTAGCACGAATACGTTCGAAATTTGATAAATCCTATAGAAATTTTAATTGTTATGATTATTAATTATGAATTAACTTACATTTTGAATATTACGTCTTGTTTGTAAAACACTTTCCATTTTAATTCGAAAATCAAGATCAGTAAGACGAGTATCAGTCTTTAACATACAATATAGAATATATCTTGTCTAATTTTCATTTATTATTCTTACTTCAGAAATTCCTAAACTTTCATAATCTTCAAGTTCTTGAGTTAATTGTCTTTTTGCTTCATCTCGATATTTTGTTAAAAATTTTGGATTATCTTTTAATCGTTCAACAAGATCTGGACAATATTCAGATAAATATATATCTATTGTTGGTATTGGTCGAGATGGTCGAGGTTGTACTGATGGTTCAACTGATGAACTAGTAGGACGTGTTGATGGTCGTTCATTTCGAAATTGAGCTAGTTGATCATTAGCTTCTTGAAGTTCTTCTTCTAATCTCTTACGATGTATTCTTTCTTCATTATATCGCTACATAAAACATAGAGAGAAGAGATACTTGTGAAATCTCCAATAACAGATTTTCAGAGAAAAGTCTCTGAAAAACCAAGACCTACAAAAGAATTTAGGGGACATCTTATTCTTTTCAGAAATATTTTCTCCTTTTCACCTAAACCAGTTGATATGAAATTGTTCCAGCTACGTAGATTTTTTCTCTGATTTGTTCTAGCTATTAGTATTTAAAGAAAAAAGTCAAAAAATACGATGTTTCAAAACCTTTTTCCTTCACATTTTATATAGTGGTCGCACACACAGAGTCCTGTTACTGGGTAAAAAAGTATCTAAACTTTAATCTTTCAAATCTCCTAGTTTGATTGCGAATAGAGCATGTTGAATTCTGATCTCAAGGGTTAATCAGCCATCATCTAGAGGAACTAACTTAATGGAACTCATCGAAAAGTGATCCATATCTTTGATTAATTTGAATCATTTGCTTTGAATCAAGATTACAGCCGATTGAAGTACCCAATGTGTGACACAATATAAACATGCGAATTTTTATTTATTAATAAGAAAATGAAAGTTAACGCATTTAAATAATGGAAAACTAGAACAGTATTATAAAAGCCATTTGTTGAGTCCTGAGAGAAAAAAATTATTATTGTCATATTAAATTCTTTGCATTAAAGCCTATCAACCTCAAGTAGCTACTTGCGATCAGAGTTTACTGAGCTCTATTTGTAGGTAAGATATCAGGCAAAAGAATTGAGGTTCATGTGCAATTTACTTGGTAGCAAGACTTCTTTCGACTATTGTATCTATATTTTTTTTTTCATATTTAACTTACATTTTGAAAAGTAATTAATTCATTTGTTAAATCACCTGCATTGCCTGGTGTTTTTTTAAGTAATTCAAGATTATCTTTTAGATTTGCCATTTCTCTTCGAAGCTAAAAACAAAAAGAAAAATCACTATTAACATTTAATAATAAGATTAATTACATTTTCGTTATCACGTTCAACACGTCGTTTATGTTTTTCTGCTTGTTGAAGTAATTGTTTCTATTTAAATTAAAATGAACAGAAAAAAATTCAAAATATATAATTTCTATGACTTACAAGTTGTTCAATATCAGCACGTAAATTTTTATTATCTTTGATTAATTCTGAAGAACCTGCTTCATGTTGACGAGGTGAAGGTGATCGTGTATGAGAATGCTAAAAATTTAATAAAAAAAAAATGCTCTTAAACAAGAATATTTTCAGTAATATTTATTCTTATTACTGATTTCATTTGGGTAAATCTATCATCTATTGTTATTTTTGTCGTTAATGTTTGAATTTCTTGCTATATAAAATAACGTTATATAATTAGTATCATAGAAAAAAAAAAATAAGCAAAAGCTTACTTTAAGTTGACTAATATTTGTATCACGATCTCCAATTTTTTCTTCAGCAGCTGTCTGAAAAAAAAAATATATATATATAAATTTCAAAATAATCCTCTGAGCGCACGAAAACAACATCGTTAACGACATAAAACGGATATTTACTAGTGAAAAAAAATGTAGATAGATGACAGTGGAATGAGATAAAACCTCAGGAACCATTGTGTTCCACATATTAAAATCAAAAATCACTTCGATTACTGGTTTACATCATTAATACAGCTTCGCAAAATCTTCTGTCAAATGCCATATAAATGAGAGTTCTCCATTATTAGATAGTACTTTTATTAAACACAACTCTCAAATTCTCTAGCAGGAAACCTGGTACTCCGATGATTTTGTTGTCTAAAAAATGCTGGAATCATGGACTTCTAGCATTGCTGGATATCACCAATTTTCGATCACTTTAATTAGCAAAAAACAACTCTTCATGCATACAAAAAAATTTCATAATCAATTTTTATACAAAACAAAGTACAGAATTTTCTTCAATTTTCTGGCAGAGTACATTCTATGGAATTGAAACTTTTTTACACATGCTGGATACTGTTTAGAGTGCCGAAGTTTTTTTTACTCTGGAAAATATTGCATCGTTGATTTTTAGCAGATTTTATAAAACAGTAGGAATCCCAAGTAGTTTCAAGTCTTTGTGAAAGAAACTTCAGCTTTATTCATCGAAATCTATCTACTCTGAGAGTTTCAAATACTAGAATATGTTATTTTTCAAATGATGACCGTCTGTATTTTAATTTTGAACATACTTTTTGAACTTTGATTATTTGTAATTCAGTATCTTTTTTATTTAATTCATCTTTAAGACGTTGAATTTCTTTTTCAATATCAACATCATGCTCACGTCGTTTACTGTAATCATAATCTGGATGACGACGATTAATATGTGCTTGTAAAAAATTAATACTTAAAAATGCATGTGTACAAACTGGACACTAAAAGAAAAAAAGAAATTTATCAAAAAACAAAAATAATTTGTATAATTATTTGTTTTTGTTTTTGTACCGTATGATAATTTGAATTTTGTGCCATTAACATTCTTTGTTGTGTTTCAAGCATTTTTCGTCGTTTTTTTGATTCTTTTTTTGTGTCAGCTAATTCATCTTTTAATTTTTTGATTTGTTGTTGAGTATATTCTTGATCCTATTTTATTTAATTATAAAAATTCTCATCAAGAAAAAAAAATGTGATATTGAAATACATACATGAAAACCTTTACTTTTCAATTGTTCGTAATCAGCTAATTGAGTTGTTATTTGATCTTGGCACAGCTATAAGAACGAAAAAAAAAAGAACAATAATTTTACCAATAGACCTAAAATGAATAAAAGACAAACTAGAAGATATTCAATTGTTAATTGAGCCATTTTATAAAGTTTAACAAAATTTGGATCCATAGTTCGTGAATCCTTAGATTTTTGAAAAATATAAAAGCTTTTATTTGAATTTTTTAATAAAAACTTACAACTTCAGCATCAATATTACACAATGTTATGTTTTCAAGATTATCTTGTAATGTTTGAAAATCCATATCACGTGCAATACGATCAACATCAACTGCGGCTATATTAAAGAAATAAATTTTGAGTTATTTTGTTTTTATTCTTTTCAGTTTAATTCTCATACCAACTCGACGCCAATCAATTTTTTCACTACGTTTAAGAAATATTCCTTGACGATTTACTTGTTGTTGAGATGGACTTAAATAGAGATAATTCATATCAGAACCTAATGGTACTCTTTGAGGGGTTGCAGATGTTGAATAATAATTATTCTGCATTGTTAATAACTAATCTTAAAAGAAGGTAGTCTAAGCGCCATATTTTTTTTTCTACCATTGTGTTCATCGTTTCCATCGATACAATTACAATAGTGTCAAAACTGACCTGTTTAAAAAAATGACTTAAATTTGTAAATCAAGATTGTTCATTATGTTCAATGTATGTTAATTTCAATATTAAACATATTTTGGATGTTAGAACGGATTAGATGTCGCTGATTGACTAATGATTACCTAGCTATCATAGACTCATGAAGATAAGTGAAGACAGTTATCTATGAAATATTGTCAAAATGAGTGAAGAAATTACGTGTAATCTATCTTCTTGCATATCAATATAAAAATACTAGAATTTCTTATTATATCATGGCTTCTTTTTTCTAGACAATAATGTTCCTTCTATCAATTCGCTTTTACTTCTTTATCATTTGTAATCTATTTGTAAGCTGTTCAAAATTATTAATTCAATATAAAACAAATAATTATTTCGCTCGTAGTTTTTTGTAAAATGTAATCAATCAAGTTTGGATTCATTGGATTTAACAACAAACCCTGATATTATTATTAAAAATTGTACTATCGGAGAACTATGTACAGATTCTATCAATTCAACTTCTGTACATTATTACTCTGTTCAATATTATTTTAATCCAGCAACGGTAAAAAAAAAAATGACTATTGACAAATCTTTTCGTACTACTACAAAGTTAGATCGATATGACGTTTCTTTTTTCATTTTTATGTATAGGCTATTCGTTTAACAACAAGTATGAAATATGATATAAAACAAAATGATCCAGTTTTAGTTGTTGTTCGACAAATTCGTGGTGTTGTTTCATGGACATTACCATATGCATTTTCTAATGGGTAAAAATGGTTCATTCGAATGCAAAATTCTTCAATTTTTAATTGTTATTAGGATGCTTTATACAAGTGTTGCACGTATACTTTGTTTGTTCAATGAAGTAAATCGTACTCGTCCACATACAAGTACTATATTTGTTGAAATTTCAACATCAAATCCAGATTTAATTGATTACTCTATTCAACTTGATAATACAACTGAATATCTACTTGAGTAAGACAAATAAATTATTCGTTTTTACTTTTGTAATTTTTGTTTTAACAATATAGAACAGGTGTTGAACGAAGTTTTACTGTTTCGCCAGCTATGCCTGTCTATTATAAATTTATATTTCCACCTAATATTGAGAACATTTTCATTGAAGTTAAATCTAAAGATGATCTATGTGCTGTTGTATCTGTTCAATCATTTGATTGTCCAGTTTATGATGTTGGTGAAATTGGTTTTAGACAAGGACATTATCAAACAATGTCAAGAAGTGCTTCATTTAATGTTTATGTAATATATCATAATAGATGTTAATATTGATTTTTCTTTCATTTTTTATTGAATAGTCTAGTGAATTTACGAAACGAAATGAATTTCTTATTGTTTTTCTTGTTAAACCAACGGATGTTGACTGTTTGGCTTACAAAGAATCAGCAATGATTGAACCAGGTGAGTTGAGTATTTTTTTTTTGTTTTAGAGATGTATTCTGATTGAATTTATTCATTTTTGTAGCTGGTGTGGTTGATGTTCAACGAAGCAAAAATGCAACAGTTATATTGAATTCACCAAAATATTGTATATTTGCATTGTATAAAGTTTATGAAATTTAATTTTCTTTTTATCGGATAGCTAAATATCTCTATATAACAATATTTGTGACAACTGGTTTATTCTTTTTAATTTATATGTTCGCTTTTCTTATTATGTGTAAACATTCAGATATTTAGTGAGTTTTTCTTTTGTTTGAGTGAGATTTGAAATAATTGAAAATAAATCTTTTTTTTAGTGATGATTTAGCTCCAGATGCTTTACGTATGTATAAATGATTGTACTTCTCTGTTTTTTTTTCTTTATTGAAATTTCTTTATTATAGCAATTTTAGAAGCACGAACAGAGCGAGAACTTACTGGTATGTATAGATGGATGAAAAATAAGATTTTTATGATTAATTGAAAATAGAACATCGACATAATGGACAACCTCATCAAACGTCTCAAGGTGAAGATAATGTAATAGAATCAAGGGCACATGATTATGAACATCAAACATCTGCTGTTGAAGTTATTGAAACATCACATGTACGTTTGAATCAAAGATATTTTTATTGAAATTTATTTACTTGATATGTAGTTAAGTTGAATTTAATAGGATTTCGAATTATAATAAACTATTTAGATGATATTATTTTCAACAAATGATTGAAGGAGTAAACTCAAAATTGAGTAAATCGAAATTTATTATTTTAATGACAATCTCTCTATTCAAAATCATTGTTTCTATTGAAAATGTTAGTTATCAAATCTATTCATAGGCAAGATTTCAAATCAAAAGTTCTCTTTTTTTTGGGTATTCGAAAAAAATTTAATGAAAAAGGATCATAATTCTGCTTCAATAGGCTGTAGACACATATCTCTTTAGGTTTGTTTTAGGACCACTGAAAACTACTTCTAGTTATAATATAAAATGACTGTTGACATGCTCAATATGAAAAAAGAACGAAGACAAATGTAACAAGCGATGATCTCTTTTTTTTTCCTTATTTACAAAAATCAGTTGCACAAAATAATGGATGAAACATAATTGAAAAAAGATTTTCTATTTTTCTTTCAGCGTGGTTTTGTAACTGTTCATGATTTATCTGTAAAAGATTATGAATATTCAAAACAAAAATTTCGTATATATCCTCAAACAATGATAACAATTGCTATATTTTATTCTTTACCTGTCATTCAACTGGTATTACAATATCAAATAAATATTGATTCAATTGGAAATGAAGATATATGTTATTTTAATTTCTTATGTACACGACAATTTGCTACGTTAACAGCATTTAATAATGTTTTTTCTAATATTGGTTATTGTGTACTTGGTATACTTTTTTTTATTATTGTATATCGAAGGTAAAAGGATATTTATTTCTATATTTAATTATTTTGTATTTAATAGAGATAAAGCTTATGCTCGATTTCTTACGAAATATCCAGCAATAGGCAAAGTAAAGTTAAATATTTGGACGATAAAATTTCTTTTAAATTCGTTTTATTTAATTAGGAATATGGTATTCCACAACACTTTGGTCTCTTCTATGCAATGGCTATTGGTTTGTTTATGGAAGGTATTCTGAGTTCATGGTAAATAATAGTTCAATTGATTTGTTAAGAGTAGACTATCTTCTTTTAGTTATCATGTATGTCCATCAAGACAAAATTTTCAATTTGATACAAGTTTTATGTTTATAATAGCGGTTTTGAATCTAATTAAAATTTATCAAACAAGACATCCAGATATCAATCCACGTTCAGCTGGTGTATTTTCATTTTTAGCTGTTATTATTTTTGTAACCGTTATTGGAGTGGTCTGTTAATATTTAAATTAATCTTCTTTTTGGTTTTTGAATAGTTTTGATTGTTTTTTGTTTCTTTGTAGTATTATGATAAACAATGGTTTTGGATAATTTATGCTATTATTCATATAATCGTGTGTTTAACATTTACAGCAAAAATTTATTATATGGGAAAATTAAAAATTTCATTTCGTGTACATGTGAGTTGAAAAAAAAATATTTAATTCACTAATCTACAGTTGTGTTTGATAGAAGAATTTATCGAATTGTATATAGTTTAATTAAAGTTTAATCTCAATGATATTTAAAAAAAATAGAAAATAATTCTGAATAATAATAACTCAAGAGTGTAAAGATTTGGAAAATAAATCTTTTATTGTCTTGAAAATTTCAATTAAAACAATAGTAGGTTTCATTGAGATATCTTATTTTAAAAGTAAAAGTATATTCCTTGGAGAATCATCGAACTTAAGGATACCCTCTTTTTTTTCATATCTAGTTCTTGAAGAGAGTACAATGAGCCTGCGTAAAATTTTCACCGCCCAATGGAGCTTCTAAAATAAACTTGGTTTTTGCAATTTTTCCAGCAACAACCCTGATTTATTACAGAACTACATCAAGTCTGCTTACCATCTCTATCTAAGTTGGCTCGATGAAGAGGCCTAAAAGCAGCTCTGATATATATTTATATAGTCTAATGTGTTTGCAAAATAGGTATTAAGCTTGGTCAAGCAAAGTTAGACAACATCAAAGTTTTACTCCTTGAATATATATCTCCTTAGTTTAGACTGTCTATCTATGGTAAAAATTTTATGCCGATTCATTATATTCTTTTGGAGAAACAGAAATGACCAAAAAGAGGGAACATCCTCTTAATAAGATCTAGAATATCTATTCAAAATGTAAGAAAATTTTCAAAACTTTTCATAAGATCATCATAACTTTTTGGCACCAAACCTCGATATCTTTTGAATATCTTCAGAATAGAAACAGCTAGAAATCTGCAATTTTCCTTGCTGTAGGTTTTGATCAAAAGTTTTCGAAAAAAATTTTTCAACAAACAATGTGAATTCAATACAGTTTAGAGTGAACAATGCTCAGCTGACTGATTTTAAATCTGCCAGTAAAACACTTGTAATCTCTGTCTGGAATAAGTTATAAAAGTTTGCCTTGTGTGAATCGACAAAGAAATGTCTCCATCATCGTTTGTTGAGAATGTTTTTTTTTTCAAATACATCTGCTTAAAACCTACAGCAAAAACTTACCAGCTTGACGAATACATAGTTTAGATAATTCGATAAAATTTTACTTCCTTCACATTTTTCTTTCGAATGGCGGAAGCTACGGATTTCTATGATATTTCCAAGGAAATTATTCGAAAAACCAATAGAATGCACCCTATTTTGAAATCGACAATAGTAATGCGTTCTTTCGTTGTCTAGCTTATAAATTTTCAGTAAGAAAACTATTGTTCGAAATAAAAAAAAGATTTTGTAAGATGTGTTATTTTACTGATTTTCATAGATTCATTTATATCGACTTGTAAAAGGCAATGGATTTCTTTCTCGACCACGTTATCTAAATCGTATGATAATATTGATTGCAGCTAATTGTATTAATATTGCATTTGCTTTATATGGTGCAATAGCTCAACCTGATTCATTCCCTGATCATCTTCTATTTATTTTTCTTGGAAATTTAGCTCTTTATTTAATATATTATATTTTCATGAAAATTGTTCATCGAGAAGGCTTTACACGTTTTTCTATATTATTTCTTACATTGTCAGTATGTTTTTGGACTTCATCATTATTCTTCTTTTATCATGAAGTTAAGAGTTATGAAGTTCAACCAGCTATATCAAGAACATATAATCAACGATGCATTGTACTGAATACATATGATGCACATGATGTATGGCATTTATTATCATCGTTTGGTCTTTTCTTTTCATTTCTTTCTATACTAACAATCGATGATGGTGTACGAAAGAAACAACGAAAAGAATTGGCAGCTTTTTAATATGAAAAGGAAAAAAAGAGAAGCAATATTTGTTCTATGTTTTTTTTTTACTAATGTCTTTCAATATTTGTCTTAAAATAAAAAAAATTCCTAATTGTTTTATTTATATTTTTATTTGTAATAAGACGAGAAAAAAAAAACAAAGATACTTGTTCGTTTTTTTTTATTCTGTATATTCGCCAACAAAAAGTACTGAAAGTGCTTGGTCAATTGATAACATTCCTTGTTCATCAATATCCATATCTCGTAACATTTCATCAATTTCTTCTTCACTTAATTTTTCTCCACGTGTACTTAAAAAATATTTTAATTCTTGTGCTGATATAAAACCATTACGTTCATAATCAAAACAACGTAAACTATCATAAACATCTTTTTCAGAACGTTTTTTTAAACCAGTACATATATCTTGAATGGTTTGTAAATCAAATAATTGATGAGTATGTGTTGTACCTAATTTTGTATCAATTACTTTTTTTAATTCAATATTTGTTGGACTATAACCAGCTGCACGAATAATTGTTTCAACATCTTTGAAATTTAATGCACGATTACGATTTCGTTTAGTTAAAATTTCATAAGCTTGTTTTAAACGATCATCAGTTTTTACTGATGTACCATTACTGTGGGAGCTCATTGTACGTGTTTGTACTATAGACAACGTCGAAAAAAATGAAGAAAAAAATCAATGAAGCAGTATACAGTTAGAAGGATTAGTTTTCTCTCTCATGATAATGATCAAATAATCGTTTGTCGTTGAAGAGAAGAGAAATAGAAGAAAACGAAGAAAGAACGTGCATGATCAATGAGACATTCGGCTTAATGTCTCTTCGTCAGTTAAGCAAGTATACAGGTGACCTCGTATAACTACTTCGTTCTCTTTTTCCTTCGTTCTCTTCTCTCCTCTCCTCTCCTTCTTTTCTATCAAATAATGTCCAACAATAAAACCACATACAATTTTCTTTATCATTCAATTTCTTATTCGTTTGCACAAAAGATTAGACAAGTATTCAGTGGTCATATACATTTGGAATTTGTTCTTTTCTTTTCTTTTTATTATATTTAGATAAAATGAAGTATATCATTGAAATATTTCTTTATGTGATTCTTTTATTTAATAAATCCAAACAAAATGATGAAAATATTTTATTAATCAATGATCCAACAAATATTTACTATAGACCCTATACAATTTTAGCATCAGATAATCGAGTAAAACGTGAGAAATCTTCTTGGTTTTATCCAACAGTAAATCATGCAACTATTATTCATGATCAATGTGATCCACATATTTATAGTAAACTTTATAGCTGTTCACATTCAACAGATTGCATGTAAGACAAATTATATAAAAATTCGACGTTGTGGCTAATCTCAAATTTTTACTAACTTATATGAAATATCTTGTTGCTGATTTCTGATTTTTGACAAAAATAATCTCATGACAAATAACAGAAACATACATGAATCAGTAATTTATTTGCGTAATTGAAAACTGTCACCAAAAAAGTACATATCAGCGAAAAAAAATCGAGAAATGTTATTCCATTGATACTAGCGTTTTTTTGAAATTACGGTGACAATGACTATTTATTCCACTGTAATGATGTACCATTACGATCGTCCTCAATTTCACCCTCTCATTCTTACCATTACCGACACCCTAACCATAACTCGTACATTTATTCTTACCCTAACCCTTACCTTCATTCACCTACAAAGTAGTAAATTTCTTATTTCTTAGCTATTTTTCAAATGATAGGATTCAAACGAATAGATAATTACATGTATGTTAGTTTCAATTTATAGAAATTTCGATAAATTGAAATTTATAAGAATAGTCACACATAGATTTTGAAATTAGTACGAATTTGAGATTTGTCACTCTTGAGAAAATTTTTCGTTAAATTTATTTGGATTTCTTTTTCTAGAACATTAGCAACTTGTCTTGAATCTATTCATTGTTCAGTACATATTAAATCTTATGGAAGTTTAATACTTAATTTACTTAATTTACTGGGTATCAATAATTGTAATGATAATGATATAAAATCATCATGTCCTAATGAAAAACGTGTTATCATTTTACATGATTTACTAACACATTGGACTGATAGTAAATTGATAAATAATGTTGATTATCAAGAAGAAAATAGTGTAGAAATTGATAGTTATTGCCAGTAAGTTTCATCAATATTTGAATATGGTAAAGATTTATTTGTTTTCTTTTTCAGTACAATACCAAATTTTATAATTGAAGTGAAAGAAAAAATTAAAGAACAATGTTTAATATATTCCAGACAAGTTGAAGCATATCTTGAAAATTTTTTATGTTCAAGTAAAAAAATAAAAGATTTTTTATGTTTTAATTTTATTTATAATAAATTTTATTTAAGTAGAAACACATACTGGAGTCGCACGAACAAGTACAACAACATCAACAAATGTATTGGAAGAACAATTACATTGGACAAAATTAGATGAAACAGAACGAAAATTTTCTACAATATCAACAAAACTAATGTATTTTGATGAAGATGATGATTTAAATTTTATTAATTTAAATAAAAATTTATTAAATACAACAGAACAAACTGTTTATGTTGTATGTATATATTTATTTCTATTTTCTATTAAATATTTTCTATTATTATATTTTAAGAATGATCATCAATATTATAATGTTTCATATATTATTCCAAAATCTGAAAGCATTCCATTGTATTCTGTTCCAGATAATAACCAATTTACTCGTATAAATGCACTTTTTGATCGACATCGGTCAGCTTTTGTAAGAAAATTCGATTGAAATTATTTGATCTTTATGAAATTTTGTTTGGATAATAGAGTATCAATTTAAAATTTGATTTCCCATTTTATGGACATAGTATTAATAAAATATTAGTTGGAACAGGAGGTAGGTTTTCATCTTTTAAATTTTTATTATTTTATGATAGCTATATATATATATGTAATTTGTTTTCCAAGACATCGATAGAGATATAAATTACTCGTAAGTGCTGATGATAGATTTACATAATCTGTCTATTTATTCTGCTTTAATTGTTAACAAATTTACTTTTGCTATAAAAAAAAAAGTTTTTTCAATTTTATTTTCTAACTCTTTTATCGAATTTAAAACGTACAATCTCATTATTTTTCTAGGTTTCATCTATACAGGTGATTTATTACATTCGGCATTAGTGGGTAGTACACAATAGTAAATTTTTTCTCAATTTTTTTCTTATCGAAAATAATTTTACTTACTCTTTATTTAAAGTATTGCACCATTTATGGCAAACTTTGATGCATCAATTGGTGGTAATCAATCTGAAGTAAAATATTTTGATAATACTACACATTTTATTTGTACATGGAAGAATCTTTATTTACAAGACCAACAAGATGCTGGTGCTTTTACATTTCAAACCATTTTACAAGATACTGGTTGGATTTCAATGTTATATGAAATATATTTAGAATAATTTGTTTATTTTTTGTTTGATTTAAATTAGGTAATATTTATTTTAATTATATACAAATTCCACAAGTAAAAATATCGACTTCAAATCATGCTCATCGTATTGGTCTTTCTGATGCATATATGTCCCAACACATGACAAATGAACATATTATTCGTGTTATAACACTTTATGATAGACTTAATTTAGATAAGGAAAAAATAAAAAATGGTGTATCAATTATTTTTTCAATGGATAATAGTAAGTTTTATTTAGAATCAAATTATTCTTTTCCTTAAGAGAGCATCCATAAGAAGACTAAGGGAGTGAAACGCTCGTCAAAATTTAATTTTTTTATATGCATCCTAACTGTCGTCTTTTGAAATCACCGAAGTCAAGTCTTCAACTCTTTTAGATGTTCTGTAGAAAATTTAACTTATACCGACTTTCCCGTTATAACTCTCCACTATGAAGAAAATAGCCAGAAACCATTTCATTCATGTCTCTTGAAATTATACTTGAATTTAACAGATTTTTTTTAATGCAATGAAATCAGTTAGTCATATATGAACGAAAAAAGATCATAATTTACTAGTATACAACTTCCGTTTTTTTGCGATTAATGGAAAAAAAATGTCATACTGAATAATTTATTATTCAACTGAAAAGCCTAATTATAGCTTAAATTTAAAGACTTTAAGTGAATAAATGTTAAAAAAGAGCAACAGATAACACTACAGTCTCTAAATATCATATTTCATACATTGCGGCACATCTCAATGCAGCAAGGTTCATGCTTCAAACACTTTCAATACAATTTCAAATGTATTCTATACAAGCCATTGAGTTATAAGCTTAGAGGTCTAAAATGTGATAACGGTAATTATGCACCTGATTCTATAGTTACTACAGTAAATAACATAGACGAAATAAAAATAAATTTTAGCATTCTCACGATCAAGAGGACGATGAGCACTGTATAATCCTTTCTGTCCTGACACTTATACTAGATATCCGTTCTCTACAGTCCTTTTTTTTTCTTCACCGTTACTGTGTCGATGCGCCTTATATAAATTCATTCTACTCTCATTGTCACCTCTGCAGTGAAGTTCTTATTTGAATTCTAAGTATATTCAGACAAACTAAATTATTAGCTGTTTCTATGATATAGCGCGAATTTAGGTTTTCTTTTTCAGTTATCTTCGAGTTGATGTAAGACTCTTAGATCTACATTTATACTGTAGCTCAAATGAGGTAATTCGTGTTTAAATGGTGATCTTTTGACTGAGCAACCAAAATCAAAAAAAATTTTTTTTTTGTCTGATAGCCCTCGATACTCGATAGTCTCATAGCCTTTCTCTTAATATTTAATGAAATACTAATCGAAAAAAGGTCACACAAATGTACGATAAAAGTACAGAAAAGAGCATGATTTAGGTAGCAACAAGGCTA